GACGACACGAGGCGTGTCGTCGGCAACAGCTGTATAGTACAGCAATCCGTTGCGTGTACTATACCAATCCGATGAGGATCGGCACAAAGCCGGTAAATCCCTCATGGATTTACTGGATGGATTCACCAGATGATCCATCAATCGCAGAAGATCCTTATCTTCCGCGTATGCCTTTCGTACGTCGTCAAGTAAACTTGACGATGGGACACTGACTGACAGTGTCGCAACAGTGGGCTTATCCTCACTGTTGGATTGTGCGTCTGGCTCGAAATCGGGCCGGCGCGAAAGCGCATCCGCGACGAGGTTGAGTCGTCCCGGTTTATACTCCACGGAGAAGTTATACTCCTCGAAGAAAGACAGCCGCCTCGCCATTCTTTGCGAGAGGTGTGGGCTGTTTACGGCCGTGCGTAATGACGCATGGTCCGTGTAGACAACAAACGGTCTATCTCCCAAGAGATAGACGCGAAACTTAGCCAGTGCATATTTCATGGCAAGGAGTTCCTTGTCATGCACTGGGTAATTACGCTCAGCTGCTTGCAGCTGACGCGACTGATAACATATGACGCGCTCCGGGCCATCTGCATCGAACTGCATTAACGCACAGCCGATTGCGAAATCGCTGGCGTCACAGACCACATGAAATGGTCTGTCCTGATCTGCAATCGCCTAGATCGGCGATTGCATCAAGCTTTGCTTGATACCTTCAAAGGAACGCTGGCACTCAGCGTTCCATGACCAGTTGACATTTTCTTGAGCAAGGAAGAAAGATGAACAGTCATCTCGGCGTAGTTGCGCGAGTACTTGTGCAAGTACGCCGCTAGACCAAGGAACTTCCTTAGTCCCTTGACATCGACTGGCACTGGCCAGTCGGTGATCGCCTTGATCTTTTCGGGATCAGGGCGTACGCCGTGTTTCCCCACGATGCACCCAAGAAGTGGTATTTCGCTAGCCGCGAATATACACTTCTTGAGGTTGGCGTACAACTTATGCTTGCGCATAAGTTGAAGAACCTGACGAACGTGAGTTCTGTGAACTTCAACGTCCGTCTTTCCGTCCATAGCCCGGCTATGGACGAACACATCGTCGAAGTAACTCGGTGCGAAGTCTCGCACCGGTCTCAACAGATTTGTTACACATCTGTTGAATGTTGCAGGGGCATTACTCAGCCCCTGTGGCATCACTAGCCACTCCCACAGCATCCCGCTGGGTGTACTCACTGCCGTGAACATGACGTCCCGTTCACGCATCAGGATCTGATAGAATCCATCCATCAGATCCATGGACGAAAAGATGGTACTCTTTGACATACCATCTATGATTACGTCCTTCCTCGGTATCGGCGTCTGAGCCGGTACCGTTGCAGCATTCAACTTGTTGAATGCGTGCACTATCCGCCACCCTCCTATGGCCTTTCGCACACAGAAGGTCGGAGAGCTGTGAGGGGATGTTGATTCCCTCACATGGCCCGATGCTATGCGATCGGCAAAGAACTTGTCGATCGCTAGTACTTGTTCACGAGGCAGTGGCCACTGCTTCATGACACAGTACTTCGAGCCCGGTTTGAGCTCGATCTCTTGTCGAGTGCCTTTGTCCTTAGGCAACTCGCAAGGTACGGATTCAGGGAACACATCCCTGAATTCGATCAAATCCTTATACAAAGGATTTGCCTGAAGTGACTCCCAGGATTGGGACGCGTATCGCTCAATCCGAGTCTTCTCATCGAGGACACTTTCGTCCGTCGATGAGCTGCTGAGAACCCGTTCGTTCTCAGCAAATACTGTTGCCGACCGAATGTCGGTCACATACTCGTCCTCTGTGACGAGTATGCAGATCTGCTTGACTTTGCCACTACGCAGATCACGCAAGAACCGTTTCGGTTCTAGCGTTGGCAACTGAGTTATCTCCGAAGTCAACTTCGGAGGCACAATCAGATCAAGCGTATAAGCGCCTACGCTTGATCCGTCATTAACCAAGACGTTCAACGTCTCGGTTTCTTCCTGGGAACTTGCTTCCACAGGTTGCTGAGGGCCTAATCCCTCAGCAATCGACTCTTGAGGAATTCCTTCCTCAAGTACGTGGGGACTTATTCCCTCGACGTCTTCCGACTGTGGCTGTGCAACCACAGTCAGGAACCGATCCTCTACGGTCGACTCTCCAGTCGACCTAGGATTTTCATGTTGCCCCTTGGGGGCAACAGATTCTTTCTTCTAAGATGCTGCCCGCTAGGCATGCATCCATGTCCCGGTCCACTCGACTTATTCGAGTGGTGGACCTTCGGCGCAGCCTGTACATCTGTACAGCCGCCGGGAGCTTGCTCCACAGTGTAGTGATCAACTACACTGTGATTTTGTGCAGTCGTGCTAACGACCGTACCGCAAGTGAGGCCATCGCACTCACTCGCAGAACATCCACACGCTTGTGGACGCTCCAAGATGTTCATCAGATGGCCATCTGATGAACAAGCAGCAGGCATCTTCACGGATCGATGCTGCCAGCTCACCCTTGGCTCGTACTTTCTGAGCCAAGGTAATCCCAGGATGACATCGAATTTGTCATCCAGATCTAGTACGATGAAGTCATCATCGTACTGCTCGCCCTCTAACGTGTAGTGGATTCCTACTACACGTTTCTCAACGGTTATCGATGCGCCTGTTGCAAGGCGCACCGTCATCCTTGTGAGGGGAATGTCGCGCTCAACGAACTTGAGCCTACGACCCTCTAGTGACTGGCGACGAACAAAGTTGTTCGACGCCCCACAGTCTACTAGGGCACGAAGCGACAAATCATTCGTCGCTTCCAACTTCAAGGTGATGAGCGAAACGTCATCACCAGGTGCAGAGACACACAATGATTGTGTATCTGGAGCAACTTTCGTCAAGAGATTTGCAAATTCTCTTGAGGTTGCTGGATCAGTAGGGCGCTCCGCCCCTACTGACCCCGACCATTTTTTGATGGTCCGTCTCGCTGTTGCGGCTTCGCAACAGCGCTGGACCCACGCCCATTGCCCTTTCTGGCGAATGGTCGTCCATTTCGCTCAGTACTGTTTGGTACTGGGCGTGGAGCACTACACTCATATGCGTAGTGCCCTAACTTCTGACAGCGATTGCACCTCTGCAATCGCTTGTTGTTTGTAGAGCGAGGTCTCTCGCTCTCAACATAGCAGAGTTCCATTGGTTCTGGACCTCCGATCTCTTGTCGTCTCGGTGGACGGTAAGAGTTTGAGCTAGCATGAGCCTGTCTCATGCTAAAGTCTTCCTGTTCCGCGGCTGATATCGCTTCTTCGAGCGTATTCAGCTCAAGGCGGAACAGATGGCTCCTGACGGGCCCTTCTGCGAGCCCTTGCATGAACACCGTAATCAACGTGTGTTCATGAACTGGGTTGGCAGTTATACTACTTGCAAGGAGTCGTATATGTTGTGCGTAAGCGTGCACATCACGCTTACCCTGCTTGAGTTTCAGGAGCTCTGAACGAGCCCTGAACTCAGCACGTGGCGGCTCAAACGTTTGTCTGAGCCGGGACTTGAAGTCATCTAGCGACCTAAACACATTTGGGTCGCTACTCTCGAGTCCCAGGGACCAAGTTTTGGCACGCCCTGCCAAGTGGGTCTGAGCAAATATGAGTTTCATTTGCTCATCTTCGACGCGACGAGCCCTTAGGGCTCTGTCGAGTTCGACAAACCATAGTAACAGGGAGTCCTCCGGGACTCCACTGTACTTGGAGATGTCAACTTTCATGACTTCGGGACGACGCGCATGCGCCGTCCCGCCCACAGCAGCATGGAATTGCTGCTGTCTCAACAGCTCCGTCTGTTGAGCACCGAGTTCTCTCAACTGCTCGGCCTGTTGAGAGCCTTGCTGGTGAAGCAAGGCTACTTTCTCCCTTACGGCGACAAGTTCATGTTGTATGAACTTGGCTATAGCGGCATGTTGTTGGTCTCTGTCTAGAGACTCCAACATGGCGCTAACGACGAGTTCGCCTACGGTAGAACTCATTCGTTCTACCGCACCCCATTCGATGTCACTCAAATGGGTAAACCCTTCACGCGTGGCGTGAAAGGTCTCTTCATCATCCAACATGTTCATGTTGGATGATTGTGGTCCTTGGAAGGACTACAAAGTGCTACCAGGTGTAACGGGGCACACCCTTGCGTAACTTAACGCAAGGGATTTGGGTGCCCCGACGGACGTACATGTGGCAAGCAAGGAAGCGTAGGTAGGGTAAAAGTAGAACTGTTATATTAATAAATTAAGTCTTTAAACTACTGTCTCTTCGTTTGACTTAATTCAATTATACTAATATAACTGCATGTATGGTGACGTCTCGTCACCACTCATTGCGCGCGTCTTGCGGCGATTGGTGGGTTGATATCATCACGATATCAGCCAATGAACAGACCCTTTGGTCGACCCTTCAATATCACCACTTGGTGATATTGTTTAAAGAATATCCATCTTTATATTCTTTATTGTCACTTTCCTTAAAGTGACAATTTCATGTAACGGGCTGCCCCGTTACAGTTGCAGTCATCGCACAAGTTTGGGAAGCAGAGATACAACAATTGTAAGTTGATCAAGCGAAACGATATATCGATGGCACGCCAAGCATAAGAGGACAAGCGTTTTTGAGAAGAAAAGAGAAGCATGTTGTCCATAACACCTCGTTAGTATCGACGCAAAGTACACACTTGCAAAGTTGCATAAATACATGTTGCACAAGTGGCGTTGGAGTTGCTCACACTACAAGATTGGACACAAATTGGGCAATGATTGTAATCGCGAAATGGTACATCTTGTCAACATCTCGCTCCAATGTGACAATCAATTTGATAATTAACAGGCTGATGTGTGAGTTAACAAGCGCCTCGTAAAACAGCTGCATCGGTGCGAGCTCCTCCTTGCAGTTACTTCAGCAAACCCTCCATACCACGACTGTTTCGCGTTCACTTACTCGCTCTGACCCGCTCATTCATTGGCTAGAAATAGCACGCCCGTCCTGCCTCATGGACGACGCCTCGGCCGCTTGTCGACACGCCGACGAGGCCCCGAACCGTCTGCGACGCGCCGAGACGGTACTCCAGTATCGCACGAGTCGCATCGTGCTCGTGCTGGAGCAGTGCATGGACTCACACAACCACCAGGCTGTGCTCCGGACGGCCGAGGCGCTGGGTATCCAGCACGTGTGGCTCATTGCAGCCAACGCCCAGCAGGTCAAGACGCACGCGGACCCTACTAAAAAGAGCCACAAGCGCAGCAGTGGAAAGAAAATTACCAAAAACTGTGCGCTGTGGCTCACTGTGCGCGAGTTTTCGAGCATTGCAACTTGTCTTGCGGCCCTGCGAGCGAGTGAGATGACGATCTGGGCGACGGACTTGTCGCCTCAAGCCGAGCCGCTCGTTGTTGATACGAAACCTGATGAGTTGCCGCCGCGCTTGGCACTTGTGATTGGACGTGAAACAGATGGCGTGAGTGTCGAGATGCTGCGTGCAGCACATCGACGCGTGTATGTGCCGTTGGTTGGCTTTAGTGAGAGCCTCAATTTGTCGGTGGCCACAGCGCTCGTGCTTCAGCGACTGTTGGACTGGTTTCCGGCTGTTCGCGGCGACCTCAGTGAGCATGAGAAGCGCGAACTTCGTGAGAAGTGGTATCCTCAGTTAATGAGCACTCCGACGCAAGCGGCTCAGGCCGAGCCGTGGACTTCGGGTCGAGTACCAATTTGTCTGCTTCCTGACTTGCGGCGTGAAAAGCATGACGCATGGATCCCCAAGAGCGTTCGAAGACGTGAGCAAGATATGCCACAAGTGAGGGAGCGAGTGGGTAAGAGAAAGCAGTCTGACGACGGCCAGGTACACAGCAAGGAAGTACGAGTAGAAGAAGAGGAAGATTGACGGTACGAGCTTACGCGAAGATGGAAAGATGGAAATAGAATCGCCAGGGCTGAGGGTCTATCGCTGCCCAGCTTCCAGTTGCTATTGCCCGTCTGTATCGCGCTGGCGAGAGTATTTGTGTTATTGCCTAAGCATAAACTTTGGACACCAGTGTTCACGAGTATAAAGACGTCATGGACTGTGACATCACGTGCTTGTGTGTAAGCCTCTACGAGATCTCAACGTCGGTCTTGCGATCAGCAACGCTCTCTGGCAAAGCGTTTTATTTCGAGGTCAAAAAGTGTCTTGCTGTGGCTGCTTTTCAACTGTAGCTCGCTCTTTGGTAGACACAAACCGCCTCTTTGACACTGGTGGTGCCTTCAAGCTTTTTCGTGGCTCCTTGTTTTAGTTCAAATAAAGCAGCGTCGACGGTATCAATCACTCGTCGCAAGTCTGTCTGTACAAGACAGTTACTCTCTGAGCCAGCCAGCCAGTCAGTCAGTTGTCAAGGAGACAATTGACGACCGCGAACGGTATTTGTGTACGAGAATGTGGCAGCAACGCCACGACAGGCTCGCAACCGTTTCGTGTGTAGCACACAAATGTCCACAGCCGCCGACGAGCGCAGTTAGTTGCACAGAGAGAACGCTCACTTTTGGACTGAACAGAGCAAGTGCGTGGGCGTGCGTGACGGACGAGCGAGCGAGCGGCGATCGAATGGGCGTGCTGCTGTGGCTGCTGCTAGTGTTCGTGGCTTTCGTCGCGACGCTCGCGAGCAGCGCCAAGCTCCGCAAGAACGCCTTCGTCTGGTTCTCCTACGTGACGATCACGGGCTGGTACTACTGCCGCGTGCTGCACAAGGAGTACTGCGGCGACAGTAACAAGGACGAGACGTCGGCCCCGAGTAGCAGCAAAAGCAGCAGCACGAGCCACTCGCCGTCGTCGAAGCGAGCTCCAAGGAGTATGCAGGAGCCCGAAGACGTGGTCTACTTTGAGAAGCGCGAGGTGGTCGAGCGGCGCCAGCTCGAGCAGCTCGAGCGCAGCGGGTCGAGCTCGAGCGTTGGCTCGGACAGCATGTGTGGGACCCGTCCACTCAAGCATAAGCGAGGGCGATTGTTCCGCAGCCGAAGGAAGGCGGCGGCAGAGGAGGCCCTGCGACGTGTGGGCGACACGAACGCTGCCGACGCGCTTATGAATTCGGGCGCGTCCGACTCGAGCGCGTCGTTGACGCAGAGTGGCACGCGAAGGACGTTCACGGGGCGAAAGAAGCCCATGTCGTGGGCCGATTGACGCAAGCGACTACAGACAAATCACGGTCCCGCTCGGTGTGCTGGTGGACGAAATACCGGTTGCATGTGCAGCTACCGGCTGTTTGTGCATCTACCGGTTGGTTGTGCAGCTACCGGTTGTTTGTGCAGCTTTTTCGTACAGAAGACGGTATTGACGCCCCAATGCATTTTTACCGAGGGTGTACATTTTTCTCCAATCAGACGAGTTGAACGGCAGAAGTTCATTTGTAACTAGAAAACAACTTTTTGAAACACGCTGTGAGGCACAATGTTTGGGTTCAATGTGAACAAGCTCAAGCCGAACCTGACTATGGCCGTGCACCGCATCGGCATTGTCAAGAACAAGAAAGCCAACGCAGCGTTGGTGCAACGCCGTGAAGTGGCACGACTTCTGCGTGAAGGAAAAGAGGAGAAAGCGCGCATTCGGGTGCGGCAGCATGCGACTGTTGGGCTGGCGCTTGCCTTGTTTGCTGATTGTGTTGTGCTGTGCTGTGCTGTGCTGTGCTGTGCTGTGTCTGTGCCTATGTCTGTGCGGCTCAACTGCTCGCAGGTGGAAGGCATTATACGTGACGACTTGATGATCGAAGGCTACGAGATCTTGGAGCTACTGTGTGATCTCCTGGCCGAGCGAGCTGTGCGTTGATGACGCGCTCGGCGTTTATGACTGAGTGTGTACTTGTCCAACTGACGCTTTTGTGCCGTAGAATCTCATCAAGACGGAATTTGACTGTCCGCATGACATGCGCGAGGCCGTGTGCACGCTCATGTGGGCCGCCAACCGCACGGACGTCCCTGAGCTGGCCGAAGTGAAGCGTCAGCTCACGAGAAAGTACGGACAGGACTTTGAAGCAGCAGCGAGTCGCAATGTCGACGGCTGTGTGAATGGGCGCGTGATGCAGAAGCTCAGCGTGCACCCGCCGAGTGCGTTCCTCGTAGTCAACTACATGAAGGAGATTGCGAGAGAGTTTCACGTGGACTGGGCACCAAAGGAAGCTCAGGTGATAGCGGCGGACCCTTTGGCACCAATCCCAGTGCCTGCGGGCGCTTTCGACACGAATGGTACAAGAGTCTCAGGATCCGACTTTTCGGCTCTACATGCTTCGGTACGATCCGTTGCACGACGACGTTCTTCGTGCCAAGGCGTTGGCGCGCCTAGCAGCTGTATGGGGGGTGGGGTGGGGGGGAAGTATACTAACTACCAGGTGGCTATTCTCCAGGGCTCTTCTGTGTCTGGCGCCAGTGCATCTCACGGACCTCGCGCTCCTTCTGGCCCTTCCGACACGGGCGCGACTGATGACACCGCCGCCTCATTGCTGTCGTCGCGGCGGACAGTGCAAAGCTACACGAACCAGCCGACGCACTACTTTTCCACGCGATCGTCGCAGCCGGTGTCGATCGACCAATTAGATGACGACGAGGACGAATCCATCGACCCGATGCAACCGGCACCAGTGCGCTCCATCGAAGAATTGCCTCTTCCACCGTCATATCCTGTTCCTACTGCTACTACTACCGCTACTGCTTCACTTGCAGCTGTGCCTATGCCACCGCCAAGCAGCGGAGGTATCCCCGATTTCGACGAACTCACAGCCCGCTTTGAGCGCCTTCGCAAGCGTCAAGACCGCCATGACCAGGGCAACATGTCGTTTACGTTTTAAACGCGCGTACACAGTCACTTACTAAAACCCATTACTGGGTTGTTCTGGGTCGTTATTCTTTGGCGCAACCGTCATGATCTTGGTGTCTGAGGCAACAAATGTGGCAAAGAGAATCGCCATGAAGGACGAGACCAAGTGGCAGCAAGTGCGTCGTGCAGCGTCCCGACGTCCGCTACAGAATTGGTATAGTTGATACATCGTAGGGATATGGAAACAGACAGGGCAACGATCGACCCATGCCGGCTTTTCTGCGTGTCGTCGACAGCCCCAGACTTTATCGTTAACGCGTGTGATTGGTCGAGCCGCGTGTGACGAACAAACCACGAAGGACATAGATGCAGCCCACGAGCCAATCGCATCGCGGCCTCGATTAGACGAGTTGACGCGTTGGACGCCACACGGAGCGACGTTTCATTGATGATACGAGTTGAAGTTCGTGCCGACTCGTCATCGCTGTCGTGCATCAAGTCGTTGGCCCTTTTTTCGCACCCGCTTTCGTTTTCGCCCCACCGCACTCGACTACGTCACTGCCATTTGCGCATTTGACGCTTCGAGCGCATTCGTCATGAGCTTCGTATCGGACGCCGCAACGAGCGACTTTCCCATCCAGAACCTCCCGTACGGCATCTTCTCTACGTCCACTAGCGCGCACAAGCGCGTGGGCGTCGCCATTGGCACCTTTGTACGTCTCTTTATCGCTTCTTCTCGCTGTTGCAGCGCTTGACAGCTCTTGACGTGTCACGCAGGTACTCGACTTGTCTGTGCTCGAGACCGAAGGCCACTTCGCCGAATTTGACGCTGCGTGTTTCCATGACGTACGTCCCGTGTTCCCATTGGGTCTCTTGTTGCCACGTGCCGTCCCGTCGATTTCTCAAACGCCTTACGTTCGTCTCTCTCTCTCTTCTTAGTCGTCGCTCAACCGGTTCATGGCGCAAGGATCGACCGTGTGGTCCAAAGCGCGCGCAACGATCGCACGACTACTGTCAGCTGATGAACCCACGCTACGGGACAATGAAGAGCTCCGACACCGCGCGTTGATCCGCATGGAAGACGTGCAGATGCACTTGCCGGCCAAAGTCGGCGACTATACGGACTTTTACTCGTCACGCGAACACGCGACCAACGTCGGCCGTATGTTCCGCGGAGACGACCACGCGCTGCAGCCCAATTGGTGCGTCACGTGGCTGGAAATACGGCGTGCACGTGCCCTGTCTTGAACTCTTCGTGGGTTTTGCTGACCTCATGAACTCCTCTGTGCGTTGTGACATGGACCTCAGGCTCCACTTGCCCGTCGGATACCACGGACGTGCGTCCTCCATCGTCACGTCAGGTACCGACGTGCGTCGTCCGTGTGGCCAATTGCAGGCGGACGCGAAGGACCCATCAAAGGGGTCCAAGTACGGACCATGTCGCGTGCTTGACTACGAGCTGGAGATGGCAAGTGCTGGGCACGAACAGCTCTTTGTTGACATACACGTTTGTGCCGCGGCGCTAACGCTACTGTGCTTTTGCTTTGCAGGCGTTTTTCGTTGGTCCGTCCAATGAGCTTGGCGAACCGATCTCAATCAGTGAGGCAGAGGACCACATCTTTGGTGTCGTCTTGATGAATGACTGGAGCGGTACGTTGCTGTATCGATGATGAGAAGCTGCTGTGACCACAGAGGACTGAGTGGTATTGTGTGGTGAACGGTGTGCACATAGCTCGTGACATTCAAAAGTGGGAGTACGTTCCGCTCGGACCCTTTGGGGCCAAGAACTTTGCAACTACCATCTCACCGTGGGTCGTGCCCCTCGCGGCTTTAGAGCCTTTTCGGTGCGAACCGAGTTTTGGCCCAGCTCAAAAAGATCCACAGCCGCTGGCGTACCTCACAGACCCAAGTTATGCCCGTGGCACCTACGATATCAATCTCAGTGTACGTCACGAGATGATAGGTAGAAGTCGAACATCCGATGGTGCAAGTCGTTTGACAGTGACTAATTGGTTGTGATCATTCAGGTCTCGGTGAAACCAGAGCAGTCCGACCAGGCGTACACCGTGACAAAGAGCAACTTTCGCAACATGTACTGGAACATGAAGCAACAGCTTGTTCACCACACAGTCACGGGATGCAACATGCAACCTGGCGACCTTTTGGGCAGCGGTACCATCAGCGGTAGCACGGACGACAGCTTGGGCTCCATGCTGGAACTGAGCTGGCAAGGAACCCGCGACGTGGCACTTGGGGACGGCGGGCTCACCCGCAAGTTTCTGCAGGACGGTGACACGGTGGCAATCTCGGGCTTCTGCCAGGGCCATGGCTACAGGATAGGATTTGGCTCGTGTGAGGGCAAGATTCTGCCTGCACGCCAGTGCAATGCCTAGTGCCATGTGGCCCAAGGAGGAGGGTCTGGTCTATCTTGCTATCGGGTCAGCTACTTTCTGCTGATCGAAATACATACGATGTCTGCTTTACATATCCGTATGCTTGTTGTGCACTCTTAATACGCGCTGCTCATCCATTCAGCTACAGCTCTCGGCAGATTCGAACAAGTCCTTGAGAAGCACCTTTGTCGAAAACTCGCGTCGCAGGCCAGTCGATGGAAACGTCAGCTCGTCGTCGAGCTCCAGCGTCGGCAACTTGAGACCATGTTGAGCTGTCTCCTGGTCCCTATGTGCTATATTGCCGTCTGCCTGCTCATTGGCATCACCCAAAACGTCGCCTCCATCCATGCCGTTCATCTTGTCCTCCAGCGGGGTAAGATCGACACCTCGTCCGTAAAGCATCAACGTCAAGGCCTTCTTCCACTCACCCACAACAACATCAGCATTCAACATGGCTGCGCCGCTGCGATCGCTGTGCGCAGCAATCCGACCATTTGTCTCTCTTTCGTGTGCTTTGTATACTCGAACAGCAGATGTGATCCCCCACCGGTCACGTAGGTAGTCAAGTTTTAACTGCTCGTCGTTTGTGTACACATTGCTGACGCCTCGTTCCATTGCTTTCGGTGCTGTATGGGCAGTACAATTTGCCAGAGATACAGAAGACATGGAGTACAGCACTTGCATTAGCATGGACAGCGACGGATAGTTGTCGCCCAAGTAGCAAAAGTAGTCCTCTACGACAGGAAACTCGGCGACGAACTCAGTCGTGAAAACGTGCTGCGACGTGTGGAGATACGCCGTCACTTCCCCTCGTAGCAAGCTCGGTCTGTGCCCGAAAAGAGATGTGAAATACATCACGCTGAGATCACTCAAGGTGCTGAGCCTGGTGAGTGCAGTACTTTTCATGTCGCGCAGTCGAAGTCGCGGGTTCAGGGCACGTGCCAATATGAAAAGAGGCTGCTCCATTTGCTCCCATACCACCTCTAGCGACCGCTGGACCGTGGCAAAGCCTTCAGCAGCCGTAAACAACACGCCCAATTGCACCATTGCGCTCGAAAGCGTCAACCCAGCTCGACAGCTTGCAAACACATGCATGAAAGCATCAAGCAACGTGCACACACGCTCTAGTAACGAGCGATTGAGCGCGTTCTCCACCAGCCGTTGAGCATTCGCTGCTCCACTTTTCGTACTAGCGACAAATGTTTGGTCGTCGAGAAGAACTTGGATGAGAACGGCACACGAGTCCCAACTACAAAACGGACTGACATTGGCGCTGCCGTCCATGTGCGACAGCCGTTCGATTACGCAAGAGCGGATCGACTCCAATTGCCACAGCTCTATGAGCGACGATACGACAGTGAACATTTCCGCTGTCGCCAGCAGTGTCAGCAATGGAAAGTGAAGCATAGTCTCCATATCATGCAGGAAAACAACTTGAGGCCAGCGTGACGGCGCTCGCAAAATGCCGATCGCACGTAACATGATCGAGCTGTACGGCAGCACCACCACTGCGAGAGACAGTCTAGCTGTGTGGACACAAAGCTGAATATGCTCATTCAGCCATCTCGCGACCTCCAGTCCATGGCTGTGTGCTACTGCAGTTTCCACATTTACCGTTTCTCCCTGAGCCCGCACAAATGCTAGTGAGACGATAGCTTTTCCATTAGTCACGATCCCATCCATCGCCGACACCTGCTTTCTCCCAGGTCGCGGGACCATTGACATGTTGCAATGCAACGACACTGGCCACGGTCTTATCGGTGTGACCGACAAGGTATCGATGGTGCTGTTTGAAAGTGCAGACGTGCCTGACGCGAGTGGAATCAGCTCTTGCAGCTTCGAAAGTTCACTTGAAAGTGTCGCGCTGTACGTGTTCTCCAAAACGCGCGTGCGTAGATCGGCTGCACTTGGTACAACCGTATCTGCAGCGCCAGAAACAGGGACGAGTGCGCGGAATAAACACTTGGCACTGTTGCTTTCAACCCACTCAAAGGGCAGCTGGTGCTCCATAAGCAGTTGCACTAGCGCGCGATGCACCGAAGTGGTGTCAAGAACCGGCATTGAAGACACGTCACCAACAACAACTCTATTGTCCTCAGGTCTCGACGACATGCGGGTATCCGGTACAGATGCAACAGCAGTGGCACTGCCAAGAGCTGCGCCCTGCTCGTCTCCCTGAACTTTTGTGATCGTCGATGCATCCCTCGGTACGTGGGGGCACTTGGCCAAATGAGTCCGCATATTGCTCTTGCGTCCCATGACGATAGCCGGCTTCATCGAGGCCTTCATGCTTTCAGGTGCACTTTCCAACGCCTGTTGGCAAAAGTTACACCGTGCGAAGTAATACGCACTATTTTGTTTGCGCTCGAGCCGCGTGAAAAAGTGCCACTCGTTCAGCGCTCGTCGCGACGAGACCATCGTCAACGTACCTGCACTGACACCGCCCATAGTAGCAGCAGTAGACGTGTTTGTCGCTTGCCGATCCGTCGCTGCATCTATGTCTGACTCTCCATTGGCAGCCAGCCCTGCAGCGGTCATCCACAAGGAACTAGTAGATGGCTTGGCCGCACTGCGTTGGTGCAGTCTCCGCCCAAGCGGCGGCAACTTTCCTTGAAAGTGCGGACATTGTGCTAAGTGCTTTCGCAATTTCTCGCGCCGGCCCACGATCTTTTCCGGCACAAGCAGCGGCTTCTGGTGCTCTGCCGCCACCTCGTAAGCTCGCTCGCAGGCTTTGCACACGGCATAGAAGAAATTCGAGTTGCCAATGTATCCTTCGGTCTGAAGGCGCGTAAAGTGCGTCCACTCTTCCATCAGGCGGTGCTTGCCATGGCCTTTGGAGGCACCGCTTCGGCGGTCGCGTTTCTCGCCCACAGACATCGTCGTCATCCGGTCTTTGGTCGTAGCCATACCATCCGTTATCTTGAAGTGAGTATCGCATTCAGTAAGTGCTCCATCTGTTATCTCTTGTAGCGCAAGTTGCTCGCTCCTGTACTGAGTGGCGTATACAGGACACGACTTCAAGTGCGAGCGCATGGCCGAGCGCCGTCCCGTGAGCTTCAGAGGCGCTCGCTGGAGCTGCTTCTTTTCATAGCCATCGATGCAGTGACGGCACAGGACGTACCAGTACGACGAGTTGGGCACGCGACCTTCGTCGGGGAGCTTCTTGAAGTGCACCCACTCGTCCATGGAGCAGCCGCGACCCATTGGTGATGAATGCGAAATGTGCTGCTGTGCAATTGGGTCCGGAGATGGGCTGATTCGATTCGATAGGTCGATACAACAGAGAGGTGACACACACAAGTGGTCAATCAATCTGCTAATTGGCTCATCGAGCAGAAGCCGGAGTTGGAAAACTCATGGGAGTTGAGCACCTCTTCGGCAGGTTTGGAAGCTGGTTCAAGCGATTAGCGTCGGTTGGACAAGAAGGACGACGATTTGTTATAGTTGACAGCTTGGCCTAGGAAATATATTTTTATTACTTACGTGTGAACATTCGCGAGCGATCAACTCTGGACGAGACGAAGAAACGAATTCGAGAGCTCGCGCCCATTACCATACAGCTTCATAAACTGGTCGAGGCGAAGAAATAAAATCGAGAGCTCTGCCCTTTGCTATACAGAATATTTTTGTTTCAGCGAACTGAGTCTACTGTTGTGTGTTTCATGCACCCATTTTGGATAATTGATGATGGTAGCCGGTGTATGTGCTGTGCGTTGTGAGGGCTGATGATCACATTCTGGCTGCTGTTGTTGTGATGAGGCAACTCGCTAGTTGTGTTAATGTGTTGGTAAACCAAATGAAAGAAATGAACATGGAGCTTACTTTGTTTACTTGAAAATATCAATACATGCGTGATAGTGAAGTCTGTACAGCTAATACTGCAGAGTCCAAATACAAAAACTCGCCGAGTCCAGTCATCAACTCCAGCTGTTTCGTACGAATAACCGACGTCGCTTCGCAGTTTGGCCAACTTGGTTCAATTTGACCCGTTCAAGTTGTCGAGGTGAAAAAGCGTCCTCGAGGGAACTCGAACCCCCAATCCCCGCCTTCGGAGGGCGATGCCTTATCCATTAGGCCACGCGGACGATGTGCAATGTTTGAATCTATATAACTTTACAATAACTTTAAACTATATTCAATAGGTGATAATACATCACAGAGCTTTAGCAAACTGTCTAGTCTAACAAATGACACTGCACATTGTCTTGACCATTTAAATCTCGTAGATAGACGGATGACTGCTACTTATTCTCATACTTGACCGATACACTTCATGCCGTCTACTACGTACACGAGCCCCTCTGAACCCAAACATAGTCTTACTCGACCACTCTAACTCTTCGAGTAGAAATTTTACCCGTCATGTTTTTCTCTCGAATTTGTCTTGTCGTGCTGCACTTGCACCTCAACTTGTCGAGTTTGCCTCGCTGGGTCCGATTTGTTGACCTTATTTTTGACTCGTTGAGTTCCACTCGTTGCTCGACTCGCCACGTTCCACTTTCAGCTTGAATCGTTGTGTTTGACTTGTTTAGTTCGACTTGCTAATTGCAGTTATTCAGGTCCGACTCGTCAGAAATGGCTCGCGAGATTGCACTTGTTGAGTTCAGCCGCATCGGCGGACATATACCTCGATAATTTTCCTTCGTTACATTATATACCATTAAAGGATTTCCCTACAGCCCAGTGGTGCTTGATTGGAGTCCGTGATGGAAAGCGACACGGCTTAAGTCACCACGCCCATTCGCTATCTAGACATTTCCGGTAACGAGTTCTATATTTGCATTACATGGGCGAATTGCCTGAGCAACGCGAATTATCTATGTGACATATCAAGGTAGCTGATCATTTAATGAAAATTTCGCAGCTGTCGCTGATTCTTCAACACTGCAGGTGTTGATCCAGCTATCCTTTTTACGTTGCTTGACAGCTCCCGCAAATCGACAAGTCTCAGATACTCGACGCTATCGCACAATGAATCGTGCTTGCGCCCATTCATGTACATCTTCAACTTTCGTAGACTTAAAAACACGGTTTGTATGTGCTCCAGATAGTTTAGATAGCAATAATAGAATTGCGTCATCACTTTGGATGATAAGAGCTCCAAGTCTCCAAGCATTTTTCAATGCTGGCCTGATACTCGTCATGTACCGTTAAGATATCCATCGGCAGGCGCTTATATAAACATTAAACGACTATGAGTGGACATCTCTCTAATCCTAGCTGCAGCTTGCAACATTTCATGTACACGTAAAACGTCGATTAAAATATGGATCCGCCGAGTCACTGCGTAAATTCATGAGGTACCAGTGCGTAATAGAGATGCGTGTCAGATATGTGCTGATACATCGCAGTGTACACAGCATTACAGATAAGATCTAGTATTGTCGAAGAAGGATGTTGTCTCTAGCTAAAAAAAAATCGTGTATATGTCATTTACATCGATGTGCATTGGACGACGTATATTGGTCCGAGGCAAAAAAAATAGACGCCACACTATCAAACATGATATTATATACACTGGCTTGTTGTTTGTGTAATTAGCAGCAAATAGTGCTAAAACTTCGTCCTGCCGAGGTGCTTTTTTAACGCTCGTTACCTTGCGAGAAGTTTTACAAATTATTACCCATCCGGTATAGTACATTTGGCGTTCCCAAAGAGGACATCAATGTTTGAAGAACTTGGCTCAATCTCTATAATCTCATAAAAATTTAAATCATACAACAATAAGGCAACTTATTATATGGCTACGTCTTGTGCAATCATTAAATCCATAACGTAGATATGTCAGTGGTAATATGTCTGTTTGAACTTTAATTATCTCTAAACGGTATTCGTTATCGAAGTGGCTTACTAAGCTAGTCGATTGTTGCAAGTTGTTCGATTTTTAACCGTGAGAAGTATTCGTTTGGCGTATTTGGTGACAATATGTTTTGCTGATGCACCACTGTATGGTTTCAAATGTCCCAATCTTTTCTAGATTCACTATATGATCACTTTGTTGGAAGTGGAAATGTCACGGCGGACACTCCCTTCCGGGTCGACGCCCCAGCTGCCAGGTTTAGCAGTTATGGTGGGTGCTTTGTCTGGGTACACTAAGTTCTAGAAGATTCTTAGCCGTTGAGCGCTAGATAGAGACAGATCTTGTTTAATAGTGAACATTGGGTAAATGAAATGACTCGTATCAAAACGCGCGCCAGATGCGTTTCGGGCCCCTGCCAGGGGCCTTGTCAGTGGCTTGTCAAAATACAAGTGAGAACAACCCAACCTATATCTTTGTGCTGCCTAATACAACACATAGAAATCTGTAGAACATTCCATATATGCCCTAGTGTATGTTGAATCTCTGGAGTCTACCCAAGTGCAACTTGCACTTCCAACGGATATCACTTTCAGATTGATAAAGCCACAAATGAGGCCCCCGGAGGGGGGCCGAAATGCGTCTGACGCGCGTTTAAATATAGAAATGATTAGCTATATTCTCTAAATTTCCTACACACTTCAGGTGTGTTTTACTGAGTCATAATGCCTTTACACTTCTTACTTGGCCCCGAGCCTGACCCTCTTACGCATTTTTACCGATGACTTGTTCTTCTATTTAAATCAATCATTATCTTTAGGCGATCACGATTGATGATCGATGGACCCAATGTCTGCCGAAACTAATGTATCCTGAGTCGTGGCATCATTACATCGTCCACAACATCCATCATCTGCATCTGGTATTGTTCTGATGCGAATTGGCGCTTTTTCAATCTTGTCAACAACACCGCTAGTTCAATTCTTGCTTGTCCAAAATTATTTAAAGGCTTGCCCGTACAAATCACTCGACTGTGTCTGCCATGGTGTATGAGCCTAGTCAACTAATTTGAAGGCCCTGGAATTTCCCTTGATCTGGACCTTATTGACGATGAAGCTGGAACATTTCAGTGATAGCAAGCGCACTCGCATAAACATTTCAGCATCCGGGTCGCCTTCCACTTAGTCGATGTGGTATCGAACAAATCACCAGCTCCTTACCAGCATCATATATGCACTTCTTCGAACCATTCGCCGCAAATACGGAGCACAAACGACAAATTCATCGGTGTCATATCGATCATTAGCTGATCTTCTTATTCAGCGTAGACAGACCTAGAAGTGCCAATATCGACGGTCTTCTATGCAGCGGGTTTGTGATCCTCCCACTACCAGGAGCGAAGGTTTTTCCCTGCTCTGTTATCCAGTCTGGGGCGGTGCACCTTTCCTTAGTGACCTTGGTGTGAACCCTTACGAGCTCACCACAATGTCGACTCCTGATTTGAGACGGGCGCGCCTTCCACACCCTGTGGATAGTGTCGCCACGACTCGTATCACAACCCTCGTACCTCACTACCCGGACTGAAGCGTTCCGTTACAAGTTGGCGCCACCCAACCCGGTGACACTTCCACCAACTATGCAAATACAACAACCCGCCAAAATGCATGTATCGAAAACCCATACTCAAGGAGGATGCGCCGCACGCTTCCAATCAAACAAACATGTGCGATACGAAACGTATACGAAATGTGGAAGACAAAACATACCCATAGACTTGTGGACATATCCACTCATATTCAGGTATAGACGGCTACGAAACTGCTCATACGACATGCAGACCAAGTATCTTCGCATGAATCAAAAGAAGCAAGACGTGATGCCACTTTGTGTGGCGTGCTCTTATCCAAATCAGGAGCTCCGACCGTCTGTACAGAGGTGCTCCTTCTGAAACTGAGCATGCGGTGCTCGATCGTTTGTGACGATGTCTATCGAAGGTCAAATGTTCTTCCAACTCATTATGTACTATTCACTTACTCGATTCTTTTCTCACTCAGCGAATTGGCTGCCTCCAGTTTCCGCGCTTAGACCACTGCGTCAAAGAAGGAGATCTGTCGCGCATACAGAGACCAACATCAAAGCATTCAAGAGTGAAGTCCCATGAACACCGCAAACCATAAATTATCAAACGAGCCGGAGGATGCGACAGATCGAGATTCTTGAGTGCTGACAGACAATCCATTGAACAAACCCGTCCTCTTCCAGTCGTGGTATAGCATGCAGAAGCCGGTTCAAACTGACTTGCATCATCGTTGATGCAAGTCGTGGATACACATGCACCGGCGAACGGGATGATTTTGCCTTGATATGGTGAGTGAACACAAAACACTTCAAATTGCCCCAAAATAGC